AGATTGCAGTTGTTTGTTAAATTGGTTGGTTTGGGAATATTTTACTTTTACTAATATGTCTCGTTGGCTATATAGATGGAAGGTGTCACCAATTTTTTGAGGGTTGATTCTTGATACTACACTTTTGAGCATTATTCACTCATTGATTTTATTTATGGATTTCAATTTTATTTTCTTATCCCTGTTGTGTATTTTAACCAATTTTTATTCCTATATCTTGGTTGTTTGGATTTGGCTGCCTCTAATCTCTAGATGTGTTTCTATTAGTTTGGGTTTTATTGTGGCTCCATCTTTGGCTCGGGTTTATCTTTCTTGTAGGCCTTCTGGTGTTGTATTTTGGTGGTGACTGCCCCAATTTTGATTTCTTTTCATCTAGTGCCAGGTTGTAATCTCTTCTTGCTATTTGGACCACTTATATTGGTTGTCTAGTTGTTTTGTGCCCCTTTCAATTTTGGTTCCACTGTAATCCTATGTTGGTTACAGTGACATCCCTGATTTTCTTATAGTGCCTAGTTATTGGCTGGGTGCATTTCGATCTTTCTACATCTTATATGCTAGTCAGCTTCTATCCTTTTAGCTGCTTCAGGTGGTAGGATTTATTTTATTTGGGTGACTTTCGTTTGTTCATTAATTGTTCTTATATTTAATTGCCCTTTTCTATTCTTTGCTTATTTGTTTTTGTAGGTTTTAATCCTTTTTGCACGTATATATATTGGTTTGTACCCAGTTCTTAAAGATTATCCAAGCTTTGGCTTATATTTTTTGGGTTCTGGTTGCTTGCCAAGGGTTTAGGGTTTAGGAAAGGGCAATTGCCTCCTAAACCCTAAACCATAAACCCTGAACCAGCAAAGTCATAACCGATGTTGTATGAGGTGGACGTATGTGCACTCGATGTGAGAAGGGGTGATTGGGCGGGACTGGGAGTCAAGAGGCAATTTGGGCAGGTTTAGGGAAAAATAACTACCTTAAAAGCAAATACCCACCTTATAAGCAAATTTTTCTTTGGAGTCCAGTGGGTGAGAGCCTCATTAATCATGGTGCAGTAATCCAACAAGCAACCAGATAACAAATGTCATTTTATAAGTTGTTTGATTTGTCATTCATCAATACAAAAATGTTATGGCACTAGAAAAAAACATTTACATTTTAGTCTTCTAAAGAAAAACATGATAAATATGTAAAGATAGAGTACCGTAAAGCAAAATTTTAATACCATATATATGCTTACTAAGCAACAGCATGGACCTCTTCATTAAGCAGCACTCATTAAAGTAAACGTGAGGTGATCACAAACTTTAATTACGCAAAATTTAAAAAACTTTCAATAAATATCATCATCAAGCACAATCCTGAACTAAAAAAAACAAAAAGGGAAAAGTTACGAATATCATAATTCTACATTTATAGTGGGCATTATAATACTAAAATTATTCAAAAACAAAATAAATTACATAATAATTAAAATTTTAATAAAGAATACACAATTATTCCGATTAAAGCTCGTAAAGAAGCTCCATTAAAGCAGAACATAAAGCTTATATATTAAGAATCTCGATTGATAATTAATATGAATTTAAGTATATGTATATTACAAATATAATTATATGCATAATAAATATATCTTAAAATAAAAAAAAATTATGTAAATATACTTTTTTAAAAAATAATTTTATAATATTTAATATAATATATAAATTTTATAATATAAAAACCTTATATTTTTAACTTTAATAAATTATATGCATTCTCAACTTAAATTTATATCCCAAACAATTTGATAGTTTAACTCATGCAAAATTCTCACGTTTTTAATTCCATGTCATAGGAGAATTTTATGTGGTTCTCTTTATATAGTGTAAAGCACAAATCAAGCAACACATAAAGTTGCATGATGTGGAAAGCTAGCAATTTAAATTTATTTGCATAAACAAATGCATTTAAATATATATATATTTGAAATTATAAAAGAAATAAACTAAATAAAAATTTAATATTAAAAACTTTTTTTTATTAAAAGTAGCTTTTAATGAACCAGTCAATTCAACCAAACTAGAATTGACTTGACGATTTATCGGTTCAACCGGCTATTCAAATTGATTCACATTGGTTCAATGCAAATTCAGTTTTCCAACTTGACTACACTAGCAACATGACTAATTCATAGAGCGTTTCATTTCTTAGCATTGTACGAAGATCTAGGACACACATTTAGATAAAAGATAGAGGTGTAACAATCATAAGAAATATCATTATAAATTGTAGCAAGGAGACCAAGGTCAAAGTGATCGTAGTCGACTGATCGAGGTTAGAGGACTATAGTCGGCAGGCAATAGTGCTCAGAAAGACCGTTATTTGGTAACAAAGGTCAGGAGAACTTATGTCGATGGGAAATGGTGGTAAAAAAGATCATTGTCTGATGAGAAAGGTCGGAAGGGATGTAGTCAGCAGACAATAGTGGTCAGAAATACAGTTGTCTGACGACAGAGGTTAGAATGACCGTATGTTTTAGGAGACAGTGGTCAAAAAGATCGTTTTTTAATGACGAGGGTCAGAAGGACCATAATCGACGGTTAGGTGGAAGTCTGACATCAGTCGATGGTCGGGCAAAAGTCTGTTGTTAGTTGGTGGCTAGGTGTAAGTCTAGTGTCAATCGATGGCCGGAAGAAGTCCATCATTAGTTGGCATCCAGGTGTAAGTCCAACAATAATTGGAAGTTAGCTGGAATTCCAACATCAGTTTGTGGCTAGTCAAAAGTTCGGAGTCAGTTGGTGACCGAACGGAAGTCCGACAATAATCCGACGATGGTCGATGGTTCGACGGTGGTCGAGGAGTCTGATGGCAAGAGAGCTATAATTTCTCTCTTGTCCATCTTTTCCTTTCTTATGTCCTTGCTCCCTTTCCATGTGGAATGAGTGATCTATTTATAGTTTTACAGGAGTGGAATGACCAATAAATAAGAGTGAGATCAAGGGTATGTTGGGTGTGGTTTGAATGGACAGCCGATATTGATCCCTTGATTATGGACCATTTACTAGGCATTAATTTAAATATCTTAATGATATAAAAAATTTGACGATCTTGGGCTCGTTGGATTCTTCTTATCAAGTCTCTCAATTCGACCATAAACATGTCACGTATGGAATTTATTTGGTAATCCAAATTATGGTTTAAACCTTCCAAAGGCGCTTCGGGTCTTCGATTTTGACCCATTTCTGCTCAGATTGAATTAAATTTGGTGTCGTTGGGTTTGTATTTTTGAGATGTTCAGTTCGACTGTAAGTTTGTTGAACTCAAAGTTCGGATTGTCCCAGTTTTAATTTTGAAAGTTTTGAAGTTGATTTTTCCATGAGATTCATGCCCGATTAAGATAATTTTTTGATGATATATCAACAATAATTGCATTATAGCTTATGGATGTAGACTATAACACAAATAGAGCAGATTATATAATTAGTCATGACCGTACAAAAATTTAGAAAGAAACACATAAAAATTTAGATCAGATCTTAAAAACTATTATTCAACAGGCTCCTTCCTTTTTCTAAACCATAAAAAATATAAGGAAGAATAATTGTGAGCTAACACGGCTCATCAGTCCACATTTAACAATCTAAATTTCTAAATAAATCCTCTATTAAGCATTTAATTGAGTGCTAAAATTAATATAATAATTAAAAATAGTAATTGCAATTATGAAGAATTAAAATAATATTGATGAGAAAAAAAAAAAAGCCATCCATATCTCATAGCATAAAGTAATATATCACTCTCAGGCCCTTATGCCTCTCACTAGACAAAATTTAGAGAATTCAATTCTTTTATGACTCCCAACAAAAAGAATATATAGAATTCTAACCCTTATGATTCCCAACAAACAAAATTCATAGAATTATGACCCTTGTGATTCCCAATATCCAACAACATAACATATTGTGTATATAGCGGCAGAATGTGTCGTTAGCATTAGATGTGCATTTAGCACTTGAAATTTATCCACCCCAGATCTCAAAATTACATAATTCAATTAGATAAGCACATAATTCATTACATTATAGAAACATGAATATAAATAAAATCATTTTAAAAAGCACCAAAATATCTTAATGTTAGATAGCAAAATACACTACTATGCAGAAATTCACTATTTCAAAACATAACCAAATTACTAGAGATAATTTAAAATATTATTTAGAAACTTTAATTGCAATACAATATTATTTTTTAGAATTAGGATTATTTACTAATTAATACCAAAATTCGCAAATCCTTGATTTAAAATTTATAAACGTGCTAGGACGAGGAGACCAACCACTAGACTTGTTGATGTTGCTAGCGACCAAAATAAGAGATCTGAAGTTGCCTAAGAGAAGAAATAGTGATGAATGAGATGTTGTCGTAGGAAGGGACAAGCTTGGAATTGTCGGGGCAAAATGTGCTATGGGCCCCATGAATAATCACTTTCAAGTAGATGAGTTTGACGAGCTTTCATAAGGAGGATCGCCCTAGGAGAGAACGACTGACTGAAATGGTGGTCCAAGCATGAGGCGACTGATGAGTGTCAAGTTAGTTTAATAAGGGATCTTCAGTCCACCACGTGAAAAGGGCGACCTCTTTCGTAAGCCCAAGTAAGTAGCACATGTTGATCATAGTGGGCGAGTTCTCCCTCAAGTTTAAGGCTTGTTGCTAATTAGGTCTTCTTAAGGGTCGAATTCCTCTGTCGTAAGCCCAAGTAAGTAGCACATGTTGATCATAGTGGGCGAGTTCTCCCTCAAGTTTAAGGCTTGTTGCTAATTAGGTCTTCTTAAGGGTCGAATTCCTCTTTCATAAGCCCAAGTAAGTAGCACATGTTGATCATAATGGGCGAGTTCTCCCTCAAGTTTAAGGCTTGTTGCTAATTAAGTCTTCTTAAGGGTCGAATTCCTCTGTCATGACCCTTCAATTACTTGCTAAGCTCTTAAAAAGGTATATATTAGTGTGTGTATATATATATACTTCCTCTCTCATGATCCTAAGGACCTAAACCCTAATTAGATAAATGTATGTAGTTCCCCAAAAACTTAACCCCACAAAACGTTACCCTCCTCTTTCGAAACTTACACTGAGATCCACAATTTTGGGATGCCCTTTAAAGCTACCTATAGTCCCCAGAAACAGAGGAAGAACAACAGAGAAGAGGAACGAAATGCTTCAACTATCTCTTTCTTTTATCATTCTAGCCTCTCAAATCTCTATTATGCGAGCTCTGCCCCTGCAACTGGACCCTGATCCGGCGGCGATCCAGCCTTCAGTGGTCTTCCCAACTGCATCACCGCTGACGACGATCCCTGCCTTCCCGGAACAATCGGTCGTCACTTCTGGGGGAACCGCCTGTCCACTCGACCTCTCCGACGACCTCATTGCCGGTATCTCAGCATCCTGCTCACCCCGCCATCGCCGCCCTGCCACCCGGGCTCGTTGCTGCCCATCCCTCGCAGCCGGCCTCTACTCAGCCTACGCTGCCTCCACTCTCTCGGCTACCTCCTACTCTCGCGGCAACCTGCCGGAGCTTCCCGACGACTCCGAGTCCTGCGCCAGCGCCGCCGAGCGTACTATTACAGCGCGCGGAGTGGAGCTCCCACGCGTGAACACCACGTGCGGGGCTGCGTACTGTTACTGCGGGATCCGGTTGCGCCGGCTGTCCTGCTCCTTCGCGGCGGCGGCAGGCGTCGTCGGTGTGCAGGATAAGTGGGCCCCGCCTGGGGTGTGGGCCCGGAGGCTCAAGAAGGACTGCGCCCTACCTGGGCTAGCCGGGTGCTCGCTCTGCCTCAGAGCGCTCAACGAGGTCAGTCACGTTTCTGGAACTGTTTTCCTGTCTAGACTAAAGTTGTGGAGATCAGCGTCCTTATTTTTTTTAATAATTTTAATTATTTTTGGAAATTTTAATAATTTTGATTATTTTAAAATTAGTGGAGGGTATAAAAATTATATAGTATTAATTTTGTAATAAATTTTAAACTAAATATTCTAATAATTTTTTTTTCATTTTCTAATTCAAAAAATCTTTTGCAAATTGTGATGTATTAATCTGTGGACTTTCATCGTAGTTTATAATCAATTTAGTTTTATTAACTAATTGCAAAACCTATAATGATATCATATTAAACCCTAAATTTTGACATACTTAATGTTTTAATAGTTATTCTTTGTAAATTTATTGTTTCCTCTCGGTGAAATAGTTAAATAAATTTTATGGAATGTAATGCTTTTCTTGTGTGGATGGAAGTTAAAGGGTACTGCCGGTAATGATAGTTCGAAGGACCGGAAAAGCGTGACGCCTCGTGACAACGACTGCCAGCTCATGGGACTGACATGGTTACTGTCCAGGAACCGAACCCGCTATTTGCAGACCGCCACCGCCGTTCTGCGTGCATTCATGGCGGCGGAGAGCGGCGCCTCCGGGTCCAGCGGCGCGGAAGTGTGGCCCTCCGTCTGCCATCATACCCGCGAAGAGATGCCGATCGCCGTGGGCTCGTCTGAGATCGGCGACGATGGTTACAATGACTTGTCGGCGGCCGCCGCGCAGCCGCCGATTCTTCTTCTGATGTGCTATGCTCTCCTCTATGTGGCATTCTTTCTTAGTCGTTGATATCTTTGTAATTTTTGGATTTTAGATTTCGTACATGAGAAGTTACCATATTGTAATTATATGGATGGCTATCTTTGTAGGCGTGATCGCTTTCGTTTAGTCCGTATGGAATTTGTTTGCTTTCTATGATGATGGGTGGTGGTGTGGCAATTATGGCGCTTCACGTGGTTTAACAGCTTTTCTTGTTGCGATGCCCACTTAAATGTTAGCTTGCTGTGCCTGTGTGGGCCTGTATACAAGTAGAATCCCTCTGGTTGCCAGAAAGAGGCTTAGGACATCCGAGAGAGAGAGATAGAGAGAGAGAGAGAGAAATGAATTATCAAGCAGCATATGTAGTTGAAGCTATTATCATAATTCAGAAAGTATTTCCAGTGAAGATAATTGAAACATATCTTTTAAAGCTTTATAATTCTTCTAGCTAAAAGCTTTGTGACGAATAACCCTTGGTGCAACAGTAGGCTGAGTAAATATTATCATCTGAATTCTCGAATATCCTATCATTTCCCTCTTTTCAAACATACAAAATATTAAGGATATGAAAAATGAATCAAATAATGAACAAAAAATAAGGGGAGGTTCACAATTTGATTGTTCAATCGAATTCAACTAGAGTAGAACTGAATGACATAAAAAATATTAATTTTTTAAAAATAATATTATTAATATAATAATAACATAATCATATCAAATATGTGACAAGAAATTGAACAAATTAAAAAATTATTAAGCATAAAATATGAAAAAAAATTAAACAATGTTAGAGTTGGTCCAATTTTAACCCTAAACCCTATAACCACCGTACCATAATCATTCATCTTATTCTTAAAGACCTATTTGGTTCCAACTATACTTTGTCCATTTGGTCTTTCTATAAGCCCTCAAACATCATTTCTAACAAATTGATTTAATTCCTTCTTGCATGGCTAAGATCCAAAACTCACCAGATAAGATTTGATTAATGTTGGTGGATTCTATCATTGAGATAAAGGCATAGTGGTTCACTTCCTTCCTAAGTTCATGTCTAGTCTTAACACCTTTAAAAGGGTCTCCTAAGATCAATTCTTTAGGATGACTCAAAGAATATCTCCAATTTCTAGGCAAAGTGTGTGTAGGATCAACCCTTTCCTCTAGATTTGAATTTTCTACTCCTTGGGTGATCTCACCTAGTCCTTTAGTAATTTAGGATTCTACCCTCTTCTCCAAATTTTTAACTCCTTTAGAAATTTCTCTAACACTATTTCATCCTCAATTCTAGACTCCTTAAGATCAGATTCATTAAACACTATATGAGTAATCTCCTCCACCACCAATATCCTTTTATTAAACACCCTAAAGGATTTTTCAACACTTGAATAACCTAAGAACACTCCATCAGATTTTGGGTCAAATTTTCTTAAGTGTGACTTCCCATTATTATGAATGAAAATCTTACAATCAAAGACATGGAGGTGGAAAAGATTTGGTGTCCTTCCCTTAAGAATCTCATAGGGTGTTTTATCAAATTTGACTATAACATTCACCATATTCAACACATAATAAGTTGTGTTTATCACTTCAGCCCAAAAGTATTTTGAAAGTAAATACTCAACAAGCATGGCTCTAGCGGCCTCAACTAAGATCTTGTTCTTCCTTTCAGTTATCCCATTCTGTTGAGGGGTCCTAGGAGCTGAGAAGTTGTGACTAATCCCTTTATCCTTATAAAAGTATCTAAATCTCTCATTTTCAAACTCTCCCTTATGGTCACTATGGATGGTTAAGATCTCACAACCTACCTTTTTCTGAATCCAAGTGGAGAAGAATCTAAACTCATCAGAAGACTCATTCTTATATGATAAAAATCTAATCCAAGTAAACCACGAGTAATCATCGATAATAAAAAAACTATAGACTTTTCCCCCTAAGCTGACAATACTAATGGGTCCAAATAAATTCATGTGAAGGACTTCTAAAGGACTAGAGGTGCTAATATTCTTAATGGAGTGGAAAGATGATTGGACTTGCCCTAGTTGACAAGCATCACAAAGGTGGTCTTTAGAGAATTTATGCTTGGGAACACCTCTAACTAGATCTTTCTGGGTCACTCTTCTAAGAGTTTTTATACTAGCATGATATAATCTCATATACCACAACCAATAATTATCAGCAATAGCTTTTATGCAAAATAAAGCAGTATATTTAATATTATTTAAGTCAAGCATATAAATATTGGTAATCTGCTTTCCCTACAAAATACTGTAATTATTTAAGCTTATAATGAAAGTGTTTGTCAAGAATTTTATGATGAAGCCCTTATCACCAAGCTGACTGATGCTGAGTAAGTTATGTTTCAGTCAATCTACAAGCAAAATATTTTCAATCAAAAGATTCTTTAAATTTCCGATTATACATGAGCCCACAACTTTCCTAGTGATATTATCTCCAAGAGTAACCTTGCCTCATATCATGGTCTCCAATAAAATGAATTGATTGGCATCTCCAATCATATGTCGTGAGCATCCGCTGTCCAGGTATCATATGATCTAACGATGCCTTTTGTGAGAGTTTTCCTACAAAATATCAAATGTCAGATTTAAGAACCCAAATAAATTTAGGTCCCTTCTTATAAAAAAGAAGAATGTAATGCATGTGTATTATGCTGTGGATTATATAGTTTGGGTCTCCACACCCAATGTGTATTATGATGAATAGTGTAAGTGTGTGAAATGTGTCATAGCATGCCACATGAAAAACATCTAACTCCAGGAAAAGGATTTACTAATATGTTCAGATTATAATACATCTTCCTAGGTTTTGGTTTTAGATCAAGAATGGATGCATTCCAATTTCTCTCAAGTGCATTCAATTTAGCTTTAAACCTCAAGTTAATACTTTCTAAAATAGCATTATCAACATTCAAATAGTGCTTCTTATACTCAGATTCGTCAATAAAAATTTTAAAATCAGATTCAAGTGAGGTGTAGGATATTTTCAAAAAATTATACTCAATTATCAATTCATAATACTTTTTATATAAATCATCAAACTCGTCAAGTAAAGACATGTAATTGCTATCAAGTTGAGTGTGTTTTTTACTTAAAACTTCATGATCTTTTGGTAAATTCAAAAAACTCTTATTTCAAACTAGCATGTAATTTCTTAAGTTTCTTATATGATTCATGAATTTTTTCATAAATTTTAATTAATTGAGCATAGGTTGGTTCACATACCTCTTCTTGATCAGACTGATCAAGATGATCACCCATTAATCACAAGTTTATTATCTCATCTTCAACTTCAATCTCAAATGAGTCAGATACAATATCCGCCTAGAACATCTTTTGGTATTGCTTCTTATCCTTCATGTATTTGGGTTTCTCCTCACCTTTCTCTTTGCTTGAGTGATCCTTAAGTGTAGGTTAATCAACTTTGACATGTCCAGGCTTCTTGCATTCATAGCAAATAAGATCAGAGGAACTTTTATAATTTTTACTATTGTTATATTTTATTCACTTATGATGATACTTATTATTCTTCCTTAGAAAGCTTTTGAATTTTCTAGTGATAAAGGCAACATCATCACTTTCAGACTTGGAAAAATCAGTGTTCATGTTGTTGGCCTTCAGCGCCACAATTTTCTCTTTCTTTTTCTCACCTGCATCAAGATTTCATTGATTCACTCCTTGCTTATAAGTAATGAGTGATCCAAGTAAATTATCAACATAATAAGTATTTAAATTTTTAGATTCAGTAATTACAATTATCTTAGAATCAAAAGAAGAAGGCAAGCATCTCAAAATTTTATTGACTCTTTCATAATTAGTTAACTCTCTTGCTAAAGTATGTAATGAGGTGACAATTTGAGTAAACCTAGTATATATGTAAAAAATCGATTCGGTAGATTTGATACGAAAAAGTTCATAGTCATGCAATAAAATATTCAATCTAGATTGTTTAACTTCATAGATTCCTTCATAAGTAATACATAATCTATCCCAAATTTCTTTACCACTAGCACAAATTAAAACATGTATATAATCTTCAAATTTCAAAGCACAGAAAAAACAGTCAAATATTTAACATTAAGCTGTGCTAAATAAAGTCCTCACAAAATGAGGGCGACATTTCTTGGTAGTGTCTTCTCTACAAACGCATAGGCCTTCCCAAAATTTACCCCGTAACTTAATATGTTAAAACTCCCCCGAAAAATGGAGGGAGAGGCTGGGGCCAAATTTTCGGAGCCTACATTTCCATAAACTTTCAATACTTACTAGTTATACTAGCTCACTCAATTTTCTAACCATCACTCGCTAACAACCTGCAATTGAGGTAGTGTTTCTTCTATAGAAAAACTTGAATTCAATAAGTTTAGGATATGTTGGTTATATGTGGAGTGTATATATATATATATATATATTGTACTTAAACACCTCATTAATAATCACGCTTGTATTATTTATCATAATATATTGTCTGTAAACTTACCTAATTTATTGGAAGCAATAGAACAGGAATACCTTTTTGGTTGGAAAATTAATTTTTCGTGTATTTTACAAATGCTAGGTTAGTAGTTTTTTTTTTTTTTGGAAGAAAATGCAACTATTGCATTAATAAAAAAGAAGCAAAACAAGCTACACCCAATCAAACAACTGATTCCTCCTTTAAAAAAAAAAAAAAAAAACAAAAAAACTACGAGTAATGTTCAAATTTGTGATTGATGAAGAGAGTTATCTGATTGTTACATTTGATGTAGAAGGCATTGTCGTGAGTGAAAGGAAAGGGCATAATTAAAGATCAGACAAACAAACAAAAAGAAACAAAAATTGCCTTGTTCGTACAGTTGTTGCACAATAATTTTATAGGAAATCAAGAGATATGCATGGCATCAGAACCTTAGTAGACCAAGCAATGATGATTTTTCTATCTTTACACTGCCAATCAAATGGTGAAATATGGAAAAAAATCTTTAACTATGAATAGGCTGTGTCATTTTCCATTTATTCAAGCCATAAATAGCTTTGTGAAGCTTACATACATATTCGGGTTTGGACTGATCCTCAAAGCCTTTAGGTTGTTGCATATACACGGTTTCATTCAAATTTCCATGCAGAAAAGCGTTGGCTACATCAAGCTGCTGCACTGGCCAATTATAATAAAGAGCAATAGCAAGTAAA